TGGGATCACCTATTGAACCAGTAGAGGATTTGGTCTCGTTAAAACCGGTCTAACCATTTGTCAAACAAGTTAAACAGATTTTTAGGGGAAGAAAAAAAAGAAACAAGAATGGATATAATAGATTATAAATACCGAATGTTTTAAATTTTTTTTTGCTAAGTTTATTTAGTTTGAACTAGTTAAATCGGTTGGTCCAACCGGCCAAATCGTCCAAACAATGGTTTTAACTAGTTTTATTTTTTACCAAATTTAGTTTTTACTTTAGTTCAGACTGATAAAGACACCAGTCGATCCGACTGATCAGAACAATGGTTCAATGTGGTCTTGATAAATATGGATCAGACTGGTCTTGACCAGACCAAACCCTATGCCGGTACACTCGTCGGTCTAATGATATTAGTTTACCCCATTCTAGGGGCCAAATTTTATAATTTTGCTTGAATTAAATTTTAATACACATGGAAATACTCGAATGAAATGGTATTTTAAAATCAATCATGTATTAGTAAATGAGATTATATATTACGAGACAATTTAGTTTTGTTATAAGGAGGTCACTATCACTTATATAAAATCTAATAGATGAAAATGTGACACAACATTTAAAAAATTTTGTTTCGAAGTTTGTACCTAAATTATGACACATCTTCAACCACCTAATTTCAAATCTATAGAGATTAACTATATACCTAAACTATGACATATCTTCGACCACCAATTTCAAATATATAGAGATCAATTATGGTCGTGACATCCTTGTACAAAAATTAAATGATCGTAACGTCCTTAAAAAATTAAATGATTGTAACGTCTTTATACCAAAAGGAAAAAATTTCCTTCCTAAGGGATTTTGTTAACGGCCCCATTTGTTTAGGCGTAGCATCACTATCTTAATGGTGATTATCCAAAAAAGGAAAGAACCAAATCAGAAAAACCTACATATCCGTGCAACGGGATATGAGCTTGCGTCTGAAACCTAAAACACCAACCCCTCTCTCTCTTCGCTCTCATCTCACTCTTCAATGCAATCTTTACAGTACACCTCTGAATCCTTTCAGTTTCAAAATCCATGGAGGCCCACTAACCACTGCCCTTGCTCTAAATCTCATCCGTTCCATTTGAATCAATGGAAGCCAAAAAACCGAAAGCCCATGGTTTCTCTCTCTAAAAATCCTGGATTTTTACATGGGTTTTTATCAGACGGTCACGAGAGAGAAGAACAGCAGGATTTGGTTCAGAAGCCATGGGTACATACTAGCAACCACCTTCTCCCAAAACCCCATCAATTAAAACTGAATCAATGGAAGCTAAGAATCAGAAAACCCATGGTTTCTCTCTCAAAAGACCCTGGTCTTTCATCTGGGTTTTGGTCTGAAAGCTATGAGAGAGAGGAGGAACATGAGTTCATTCACCTTCCTGTAGTATTTCACCAGGGGAGTCGAGTTTCTCAGTATACATGGGATGGTAAGCATATCAAGTTGGTGGGTTTCCATGAGGAAGGTTTAAATTGCATTGGTTCTCTGTGTCTTGGTAGGGTTTTCGGGAATTGGGTGGAGATGATGAATTGCAGTGCGAGAAAGTTGTTTGTTCCACAAAAAGTTCAGGAAAATTACATGGGTTATTTAAAGTGGAAGCTTTTACATCGTGTTTTTAGCTCAGCTCTCAAGGTTGTTGCTACTCAGGTAAAATGGGTTCATTTCTTTTTTCCCAGTGCTACTTTTCATTACTCTTTGCTAATGAGGTTTGCTTCCATCTGAGTAAGACTCCTAAATTTGGCCTTGTCTTTTTTATTTTTTGATAAAAAATTGTGCTTTTTAATTATAGAATTTTCATGAGAACGAAGCTTTAAAGTCTAAAGTTTCAGTATCGGTCACGTGAATTGATATTTGTTTCAATTGGTAACTTAATTCTTGTTTAATGAATATTCGAACTGGAAAATTTTGAAGTTCCTTTGGGGATGTTTTTACTGCAAATCTTGTAAGTTATAGCATAAACCAGGTAGCGAAAATGGGGAAATGACAACTGATGTTCAGAGATATTTATGTAGATACAATCTGTGAATGGAATGAAAATAATGGGTATGTCTAGCCAATAGGAGAATAACGGATAAGCATTTTTTTCACTACACAGGCATGACCTTCCTATTATTTATATTTTTATTTCTCCATTTTCTTTGTATGTCTCATGGTTTGAATTTCATTTGTAATATTCAAATTTATCCAAAGCCCACAATCCTTTCTGGAAATGGACCTGAAATCTGAATTTTATACCACTGGTATGTGTAGAAGTTTTGACAAAGTTGACTGACACCTAATATTCAGAAAAATTATGAAGTTTAATCAGTCAAATAACAAAAAAAAAAGAAGAGAGAAGCTATGAAATTTATTCAAACTTGTCAAATATTGGGGTTTATTAATTTTTTGGACAAACTTTTCATTTTCTCTTATCTCAATTGCACCTCCCAATGGAGAGAAATTTGGCTGCAATTGTGAAGTTTCTAAACTCCATGGTTTTTGATATGCTGGGCTCTTACTGCCTACATGCATCAAGTCTTGTGTAATAAAAAACCCAAAACTATTTCTCAAAAAGAAAAATAAAAATAAAAAAAGAAAATGCGAATCTGATGTGGAAAATGGATTAGTAGTGAATGTTTGTTATAGGCTTCAAATTTTTATTGTTTCTCCTCAGTTCATCAATATATCATTGTGTGGTATTGGAGATGAGGTGGTAACTATAAAAAATAAAGGAAAGGAACTGGATAATTGATTAGGTTGTGTAAAGCCTGTTGAATGTTTGTTTTATAAATTCAATACCAGGCCATGTTTCGAGCTATTGGAATTGGAAATTGTCGATCTCTTGCATCTGCAGCTGCCCTGAATTGGGTTCTTAAAGATGGACTTGGACGACTTAGCCGCTGCATATATACTGCTAGCCTTGGATCAGCTTTTGATACTAACTTAAAGGTTTGAATTGGATCTTATTATCTTTGAAGTTGGCTCTTTGACTTATTTAACATGTATGTTGCGTTTCCAATATTTTATCATGTAATTTTCTTGCATTTGGGCAGAGAGTGCGGTTTTCAACATCTCTCCTGTTCAGCTTGAGTATTGGAGTTGAGATGCTGACTCCATATTTCCCCAACTACTTCTTGCTTCTTGCAACAATTGCCAATGTGGGAAAATCCATAAGTTTGGCTGCCTACTTAGCAACAGGGGTAATAACTTGACCTATAGTTTAAGTTCCATTTTATTTTTTAACTAAAAAAGCTTCACTATTTGGTCTCTTATACTATGTATCTTGTTGCGCTTGGTCTCTTTAAAGACCTGTACAGTCTCAGCTGGTCTTGGATAGATTTATTTAAGACTTGGGACTTGCCTGTTCCGAGCGACTCGGAGAGTCTGACTTGGCTCACCACATTTTAAACATTGCTTTCCATATTATGGAGTTATTGACAAATGATAAGTGTCCTCTCATCAAGATTTATGTAACCATGTGTACAAAAAGTTGAAAACCACACTCTGTATAGGCTGCATAATTGGGACTCCCATCAATGTTTTAATTCGTGTGATTATTATTTACTATGGTAGTTTATATCATAATTTGTTGGAGTGTTATATGGGACTCCAGAGGAACATTTTAACATGAGTTACAGATGATGGATAATGAAGATAAACTGAGGGGCCCACCAGGTGCAGTTAATCTCTACTGTCTGCAATTTGGAAGGATGGTGGATGGCCCTATGGGAACACCATATATTATACTTCATTTGATTATGGAACGCTATTCCATTTAACTTTCTCATGCTACCAAAAAAAATCTCTTATTTTTCTTCTTCATGAGGATAATCTTAATATCATCTCTGTCTATGTAACAATGGAAGGCATGTCTGAGACATTTCAGAGTGTGAGACACGGATACAGTGTCAGACATGTGAGACACAGTATGTGACCCGTTGTTATGCGTTTTGGGGCTGTTTCAGGATTCTTACGCATGCCCCAATACTCTGACATGACGTGTCCGTGTAAGGTCTGTGTGTCTTAGATGTCAGAAATGGGCGTGCCATGTCATTTTTAGGGCTCAGTATTAAGACACGTATGTTTAAGTTGTGGGACACACATCTCAGCTGTAAGACACACCTGTATTGATTTTTAAGATGTAGTTTTTTATATTGTGATTCCAAGTTTTACTTCTTTGCATACTCTTCCTAATGGCTAATTCTTATTAGCAATATATATCAGTGATAATAAATTTTTATTTTCCAATATGTGTATAAGAGAATGATTTTTAAGGAGTGTCTACCATAAGACATGCATGTCTCAATTAAGATGCATATGTCAAAAAGTGTCTTACTATGTTAGAACTCTGAAACGGCACCTCTGTACAGTACGAAACTCTATGAAAGTGTCATGTCTGACAGTCCCATCTTTTAAGGGAGCATCTGACATTTCATTTCCATGTTCAATTCAACAACTGTGTCAGTTTCCTTGTAACATAGATCTCTGTCCTTTCAGTCTGCAATACATAGGAGCTTTGCAATTGCGGATAATCTTGGGGAAGTTTCAGCCAAGGCTCAGGTAAGCTATAAACTTCAATTGGTTATTTCAGATTCTGAAGTGGATGTCTCTTCCTCATTGTAATCTAATTGCAGTATTTGTGGTTTTCAGATTCAAACAGTCTGTTTTGATAACCTGGGTCTTATGCTTGCAGCTGTATTGAATATTGTATGCAAGAATAACCAAAGGTTGTTCTTTCTAAACCTAGAATTTGGTTCAGTCCTTCCATAAAAAAGTACAGTTTTGTATGTTTTGATCTTTTGTTTTTTGGGGTCATCTGAGTCTTTGAATCTGGATTCTTCTTTGTGCGAGATATATCTGCAACTTGTCATGGAAAGCTCCTTTTAATCATAGCTTCTGATACTTTTTTCTTAAGGTCATTTTCCATATTATTTTGCTACACATAACACATCAAGTAACCATCTCATCATTGTTTGTAATCACCATTAAAGGTGTGTTGTTCGAGATAGATTATCCCCTTCTATGGTTACATTTATCCCTTGATATCTTCAACTGATGATTTTGATATATAATGTGAACGTCAGATTACTTATTTGATGCTATTTCTGTTTATGCTAGAAGATTACAAGCAACCCTCCCATTGGTTGTATACCCACTTTTCTCTGCGGTTGACTTGATGGCTATTTATCAAGCCCTCAAACACGTGCATCTGCAAACCTTAACTAAGGTTTGGGGACTGCTTCGTCTTCTATACTTTTGAATATTGTTGCTAACTGTATTTTGGGGGAAATCTTGATAGTAACAATGACTTGTGCCTAACGTAGGGGGTTGAAAAAGGAAAAAAAGAGAACAGAAAGAATGTATCTATGGAATTGTTAACAATGATTGCTGGATTAAGCTTGAAATAGCCTTTAGAAGTGGCAAAAACTTCAAGCATGCTTCAAAATTTTAAAGGATGCACAGCTTCATGTTTTTTCACGAAAGGTTTTCCATACATCATTATTGTATTTGTCTGTATACCTAATCCGGTTATTCTACATTGAATTTGTTATTATCCCGATGCTCTCTTATGTTACTTTTGTTATATTTGTAAGTACAAAAATACTTTCGATTTTCTCATCACCAAAATTCACAACTACCCAAATTCCCAAATTTCAAAGTGCCCTTGGTTCTTTTGGCAAAAATTATGGCTTTCTAAAGGTTTGAAGAAATATCCACATATAAGTTGCAAATATCTCAAATAGGAGTTATTTGTTGCTTGATGTTATCGGTCTGAGTTTTATATTATTAAACTGCAGGATAGACTAGAAATCATCATAAGAAAATGGATTTATTCGGGATATGTCCCTTCAGCCGCAGAAGTGAGCGATACAGAAGGAATTAGTTTTCTTAGGTTAGCAGGTAACATTCATGATTGTGGTTCTGTACTTGATAACAACTTTTTTTCTTTCCTTTAAAGGGAAGTGTACCTTACACTACTTGTGTATTGGTATATGACACAAAATGTAGACATTCACCATCCATTGGCAATGTTGGATGGTGGAGATTAACTTTTGTTCAACTTGAGTTTCATTGAATAAAACAGAATACACAAATATTGTAACTGCTTTTCAAGCAAATAATTACCAAAACTTGATGATGAAGCTTACAGATGATTAGTGAGGTTTAAATTAGGCAGTGAGCCATGGCCCATCAGAATCGGATGTGTTGATTCGAAGGATCCTTCGCCCCAGTGCTCAGTGCTGACAATGCAATCTCTAGGAGGCGATGATCTCTATTTCATATGCATGGAAACATCTTGTAAGGGTTTTAGAAGAAAGCGACAAGTTAGTATCATCAACATCCACAAATATATATTTGTTTGTGTATATATTCATCCATCCATCTATCTATTGTCCACTTTCTTTTAAAAACAATTTTTTTATCCGTCTTCTAGACACATTCATGTGCATTTGCTTGCATATGTATGTGTAATTGCTAATGTTTTTGGATGATTCTTTTACTTTTTCTTTTTGTGTACGAGTCTTTACTTGGTTTTAATCTGTTTGTCGATGTGTTGACTTGAGCATGCCATGATAATGTAGAATCCCCTTAACTTTTAAAGGAGAAAAAAAAGAGAGCATACCCTTACCTTTCATATATTTGATTATTTGCAAAAATATATAGTAAAAAATCTGAACATGAAAAATTTGAAGAGAATTGAAACCTCAACTTGGACCACTTTTTTTTTTTTGCCTTGTGTAAGTTAGTTGGGGTGCATGAAACCGTGAGGGATGCCTTATACAAGTAATTGAAGGACGAGAATCTTTAGTGAATTTTATTCTCAAAGGATGTCAACTTTTTGCAATTATTCAAACCTTAAAAATAATGTGAAGATATATGAGGCCTAATCTTGTGCTTAATTATAAAAAACATATAGTATTTATCTTTTCTTATCAGTGAGTGGATCTTTACCTGTCAAAGGAAAAAAAAAGAGAGTGGAATATTCCCCTTAGTGGATGTCTTATTTTCAAACTGCATAAACATAATGAAATGGACCATAGTTATCGAACTTCTTTCATCTTTTCTGGCATTCAAGCAATCTCTTCTGCTTCAATTTCATGAAAGTTTGCATGCGTGAATTTCAGAGAGGGATGGTACTTTGTCTTCACGAAGGGGCAGGCAACAAAGAAATTATTTTGGGAATGCTGCAGGTAATGTGGGCAAGGACAGCTTCTCATGAGAAAGAAGGGCAATAATAGCCATATATTCTCTCTCATTCTAATGCACTTATTAAAACTTTCTGTCAGCTTCCTCTGAGCTTCTCATGTTAATTTTCAGGCTTGCTACATGAGAAGGGCCCTTGTTTCAGACCGATGTAGCTTGGCATTGGGGAATGGTTCACCATGCTCTGGTTACTGGTCCCCTGTTTACATGAGAGAGTGGTTTGAAATGGTGGAGGAGAGTAAGCAATATGCTAGGGCAGAGGTATCGGAACTTATTGAAGAAATGAGGAAGTTGGGTTGGGCTGTGAAGAATGTTTTGTTGAATACCCAAGAACAGATCAGATACAGTTTCAATGGAGCTTGAGAAGATGAGGTTTTCAGATAATTGAAAACCTTTATAAACCACAGAGAGAGCTGGGTCTTCCTGGAAGAGGGAATCGTCATCCCCCATCAGAGTGAGAGAGATGATAATGGCTTTGAAATTATTCAGAGAGAGAGAGAGAGAGAGAGAGAGAGAGAGAGAGAGAGAGAGAGAGTAAGTAAGTAAGTAAGTAAGAAGAAGAAGTAAGAAGTAAGTAACGTAACGTAAGTAACGTACGTACGTACGTACGTACGTACGTTACGTTACGTTACGTTACGTTACGTTACGTAGTAGTAGAGTAGAGAGAGA